CAGGTTTTCAGTATGAAACTCAGCCCCCGTTAAAAAAGGTTATTTTTTAAAGAAAAATAAAAAATTGGAATAGTAATTCTTTTAGCATGAAAAAGTTTCGAATTTAGGTACAAAATATATTATCGTGAAAATGTGGGGTTGAAAATGAGTTTTTTTATAAAAAAAAAGGTTTTTGCAGAATTGGAGACAAACAGGGCTAGTAGATCCATTAACCTTTAACAAGATCTAGTTTAGTCTATTAACCATCACCTTACTCAATCCTCCAAAACCCGTCGATTCTACTCGGATTTTGAGTGATTCATTGACTATCTAGTCCTTAATCACCAACCAAACTGGTCTTATGCCCGAATTATGGACCCATGGTGTATGCAGGTATAGTCGTAAGCTTCCTTCCCAAAGTATATCATGAGTTCATCTTGCTATTTGTACTTGTGGACCCATGTGTTTAGGAGGTTGTCGAGGGTCAGACTAGTGATTTGTCACACGTGACATCAAAGCGGAATCCTTCGAATGGTGCATTGTTAGTTGCGGGAGACCAATGATGTGCATTCCTACGAAAACAGTTTGGGGATCGTCGAAAACGTGACAAAGCCACGGGATATGTGGCAAAGTGAGCTAGCAAACAAGCAGAATTGGTGAGGAAAAGTTTTTGGGAATGATGGACGATAAAGGCTTGTGTTGTGCGATTGAGCCGATCTACATATACATTTGTTTCGTAAAGCATGGTAAGAATTGTAGACGAAATCATAAAAAGAGGCAATTTATATGTGTGCTTTGACATCCGCTACGATGCTACAGCAGGGAGTTGTCCATTTGAGGAACTAATGCATGGTGCATAGGTTTAAGGTTGGTATTGAAGGCAATAATACAAATTACTACGGTAAGAAGTGTAGGGTTGGCGATTCCTGTCCATTCGAGGGATGGTGTCGTAATTGTTGGAGAATTTTCGTACCTATCGGCGTGGAGGAGAATGCAATGCGGTGTTACACGAAGATGTGAGGTAATCCGCTACGAGGGCATTAGCCGAGTGATGGGAGAGCTTATCACAGACATAGCGAACTCCCTTACCCATGTAACACGACAAGATTGCTAACAGTTGATTTATGATTGAATTATCGAAAAATGCAGTGACAATGTCTCATATGCAAGTATAGTCGCAAGCTTCCTATCAGAGTATATCATGATTTATCTTGCTATTTGTGCTTGTCGGCCCATGTATTTGGGAGGCTGCCCTCGAGGATCGTGGGACCCCGAGGGTTGGACAGATGATCCGTTAGTAATTAATATTGAAAGTGAATTGAAGTTTGAGGAATACTTTTTTTATAACAAAAAGGGGACGGTCAAAAATGCTTTAAAATCTAAGAATTAGTGTTATTGGAAAAATAAAGAAATGTTACCATGGTCAAAAAAAATTATATAGATTTTTAACTAGTATCCAATAAGTAAACTACTATTGGGATATATGTCCAAATTAATTATTCGATATTATATTTTGAATAAATAAATATTAATTTGTGTATTTAATTATTTTTAGAGATGTATTTAATATTTGAGCAAATGAGAAAATGTATCGTGATAATGGATATTATTATAAATTGAGTACTTAAGGTTTTAAAGTACAGATAGATTCAATTTCTAGAGTGATCAAAAATAATTATTCGCGACCAATACGTAAATTCAGACACTTTTGATATGGTCATATTATGTTTATTAAAGTTTATCTAGACTTTGATAATAAAGATAATAATAAGTAGGGAAAAATTCACAAATCGGGTATTAAACATCGACCAATTCAATTTTCAGGTTTTAAGTTTCAAAAATCAAAACTCAGGTGGTAATTAAATTTTATTAATTAAATTAAAAATTATATATATAATAATATCAATCTCTCTCTAGTCCAACCATAATCAAGGCATCCGTCTGTGGTCATTCCCTCTTACAGTCGTCGGCATCCATCCGTCGTCAACATCCACCCGCCAACATCCACTCTCACAGTCATCATCGTCTAAATAACTTCGTCGGGCGAAAGATAGAATCAACACAAATCGTCGACGACCGAGCATCTTCTTCAGTGGTAAACGTATTGTAGTTTAGCAGCGACTAACCATCGTTGGCTCAGATATTAAAGAGATATGAAGAAACATAGCAACTGTTGAAGAACATCGACGATTAAGTAGCGTTGGTATAATTTAAATCTATTTTTTAAAACTGGAATCGAAAACAATCACTGATTTAATTTACAAAGTACTCACCGAATTAGATTACTTCAATTCTCACCATCAAAATTTGGTTAACTGAATTTGTGACCAATTCGGAGAAATCAATTGCAAGTGAACGGTTCTCTTGAATTTACATTGATCCGTTGCATTTGATATTATTCCAATGGCCTGCAACCAATTCTCTTGGATATGTGACCTATAGACATTGATATGTTACCTATGAATGGTGACTTGTGACCAATTAATATTGACCCGTGAACTATAACCAGTAACCTATGAACATATATAACATATGAATCGTGACCTATGACCTTTGAACTATAACATGTGACCAATTAATAATAACTGTAAACTATAATATATGACCAATTAATATTAACATGTAAACTATAATTTGTGACCTGTGAATTTGTGACAAATGAATATTGACATGTGAGCTATAACGTGTGACCCATACAATATGACATGTGACCTATAAACGTAAATCAATGATTTTTGACCAATTCTATTTGATTTGTGATCTATAAATATTGATATGTGACTTATAACAAGTGCAAAAAGACATGTGACATGCTATCAGTTCACATGTTGTGCAACTCATTGTGCACATGTCACAGGCATTGCATCAATATTTCAAATTATCAATTGTATTAGTCACATATTATTTATTGGTCACAAATTAACCCAATCAGATCACAAATTGTGTTTATACAAACATAACCCAACCCAAACCCAGCACCACAACCATCTGCACCACCATCGCCAACACCATCACAATGCATCAAATCGAAAAACCACCAACAAACTGTTAGGGATTAAGCCAATATATCAAACAAGCAGCGGAAACAACTAATCCAATCCCTCAATGTGCAAAATTAAAAATGATAGGAATAAAGCCCATCTCCAACAACTCACACACACTAGCTGTAATATAAATTGAACACCGAAATTTGTTAACGAGGAAAACCCTGCGAAGGGAAAAATCCTGGGACCTAGTCCAATGAAAGAGCCATCCACTATAAAATAATGGGATACATAGTAATCTTCTCTAGAACACACTCAATCTTCTCTAGAACACACTCCAGAGGCTAGGGTTGGGCAAAATGTCCGAACCGAACCGGAA